GATAGGGTGATAGATTGTAAGAAGCAGACACAGGCACAACACGTCTTCTTTCGTTTGGAGTGTTTTGTAGAGGGAGGCATGTGTTCGTGCAGCTAACAGCTCTTGATGACTTCACGGACGCAGTATTTTAGTGTAAACAAAAACAAACTGCTCTGTGAATGTAAGAAACAGGTTTTGAGCTGCCGATGCGCAAGTGTGAGTCGGCAGTTCATGAAATCAGATGTTTAGTTACTAGTCAAGCTTTTATACATTTATGGGGACTGATTCTAATAAACTCCATATACCATAAGAAAATATTTATAAAAAAGCTCATAAAATGACATTAAGTTGTAGACTCCTGGGTCCAGAGGGTTCCCTATTGTGTATGTACATTATTCCCATGTTTGTCCTGTATTTGACAAATTCAATGTCTCTAAGGCAAGTTGTCTTTACATTTAATACAGTTTTTAAAATGTATTGTTGTAGTGAATTTCATCATTTCAAGGAGTAAACACATGCCCACGCTCAGCTTGAACCATCTGAAACAGATCTGAGACTTAGACAAACTTTATTGATCCACAAGGGAAATGATTTGGCTACAGGAGCTCACACATCACAATGTAATATAATAACAAAGAGAACAAAAATATAAATGGTAATAAATCCAAAATAAGTAGCAAAAATAGGAAGAGACTGATGTCAAATAAGGCATAATTATATAAATATGTATGAACAAGTAAACATAAAATTAATAACATTTGCAAAACACTAATGATAAATAAAGTAGATTAACCAGCAATTTGTTCAAAGGCACACTATGTACATTTTCTGGTGGAGGGTCCGAAGCCTTAGGCCCCGTCCACACTAGTACATATTCAAATCTTTTTGGTTGTGGGTGCAGTGTTCGTTCACACTAATCCCACTGAAAACGGCTCCAGAGACGAAACGATCTGATGCTTCCAGCCCCCACGAATTCATGTTCGTACAGATCTGATCCGGCAGTGTGTGGATGCCTGAAAACTCTGATACTCTGATGTAGGTCTGTGCAGTGTGAAGTAATTCACTGACAAAACACTAAGAAGCTAGAATATGTGTCCATTCATATAAACGTGTGTCAGTGTGTACGACCTGCACATGTATAATGTGTGAAAAGTTTCACATGAACCATCTCCAACACGACAGAAACACAGAACAGACTCAGCATCAGCAGAACACCCCTCTGTCACAGAAAGAACACTCATATTCCACTGAGTTGTGTCCTTTAGTCTGACAGAAGTTGAACCACAACAGTGACACAAGGAAAGAGCTGTTTTTATCAGCGCTTAGTTTATGCAAATTAGCCATGCAGGTTTAAGTTTTTTTTCTGTAAAACAAAACAAATATGCTCAAAGAAACGAGACAGAAACGTCTGAATGTAGATCGTTTCTGATACTGTGATTCGTTTCATATACAAGAGGCAAACTCATCTAGACACATGCAGAACATGCAAATTCCACACTGAAAGGCTTGAGCCAGTCCGGGAGTTGAACCTGGAACCCTCTTGTTATGATCTAAATTGGAGGATTTCACTTACTGTGCGTGTTATGAGTTGATGAGGGAAATCACAATGCAACTATAGTGCAAACTCACCTATTCACAGATAGACCATGCAAACTCCTCTCTGAAAGCTGAGCCAGTCCGGGAGTCGAACCTCAAACCTTCTTGTTATCATCTAAAATGGAGGATTTGACCTATTGTGTGTGTTGTGAGTTGATGGGGGAAAAAGTGGTGGAATTATAGTGCAAACTCACCCAGACACAGGCAGAACATGCAAACTCCACACAGAAAGTTGAGCCAGTCCAGGAGTCAAACCTGGAACCTTCTTGTTATGAGACAACTTCAGCCACTCGGCCAGTCCCAGTGTTTGTAAGGCAAATTGGAGCAGCCATCCACCCATTCACGGGTTTCAGCTTTTTTCGAAGTTTTGACGACATTTCACCTTTCAAACAATATCATATTTTGAACGTTCTTGCTGTGAGGCTGAAGCTTTAATTGGTCTGTCACTGTATCTTCCAATCTGAATAAAACAAAGCATTCAAAAGTGGTTTCATGTTTTGTAATACTCCGGTCTCACCTAAACATGTCAGAGTAAGACTAATGCAAGTGACTGACAATGTAATTCAAACTGAGTGGCTTTAAAGTGATGTTAAAGGAGCTCTGTGTGTAACCAGGCTGTCCACTCATTCAGTAAATACACTTCATAAGAGTCAAAGCTGAACAGACTCTGGCCTGTTTTATGCTCATTTAACCATAACTTACTGTGATATTATTTTTACTGCCACAAAGAGCACTTTAAATCATGTCCGAGGATGATTGAGTAAAAAGCAAACCAAAGTTAAATTATAGACCTGCCATCTTTGAAAATCCACTCTATCAAATGTGGGGATCTGAGGTAAAGTCATTGAGAATGGGAGTCCATGTTCAGGGCTTGTGGTTTGGAAGTGGGATGACGAAAAGCCAAAAACTCAGAGCTTTCATTGAGTAAAGACTGTTTTTGCAAGTTGGATTTCAGCATTTGTTAAAGTGTCAGTGTAAAGTTGTGAAATGTTATGAAAAATTGTTTTGGGGGAAGCCGGTGTTACTGTAATGTTGGATTGAAATCACTCTGGTGCAGTTTCTTCAGTAGAAAAAAACAAATGTGGTGGGGATTGGTTTGTTTTTATTCCTAATGTTAAAGCTGCATGCCTTATCTGGAATGTTTCACAGTAGCATTATACCTTTTTAACATCACAGAGGCCAAACCAGACCAGACAGAAGTTACATGTCAGATCTGTGGAGAGGCGACCCCGCTCACAGTCAGAATGTCTGTTTTTCTACGTATTTGTGAGCTATAAAACCGCCTGTAATGGAATAAATGTAAGGTAAGAGCTATTATGTAATGTCATACTGTGGAATATTCCAGGCAGAGCAATGACATCTCCATACAGCCCAACAAAAAAGTTACACAAAGCACCTTTAATATCAAGTTCTTTAACATGCTGAATTATTAATTGTTCGTAGTGATTTGACTTTCATGAGGTCTATAAAAGTGACTATAAAAATAATCATGTAAGAAAAACAGAAAAAGTGTGTTAATATTTGTTTTCAATTTATTGCATTTTTACATCATTACATCAGGGATCTCCAACCAGTAGCTCTCCACTCCCTTCCAAGTAGCTAGCCAAAGTATTTCTAAATTATATGTATTGAGCTTAATAACTCAAATCTGATTAATGACCATTGTACTTGTATCATTTTGATGCCTAACTTGTGCATTAATAAATGGATAATGCTTTATGTTTAATCTAACTGTACCCCGTCTAAAGCTTGTCATAGCTCTTCTACTTTCTCAATGTTTTGTGAGTGCTAAAACGAGTAGCTCTCTGGGATCTTCGTTTCATAAAGGTAGTTCACCAAAGGAAAAAGTTTCGAGACCTCTGCATTACATGGATTCCTCAAGTCATGCATTATTTCCAGTTTAAGCATCTGTTACAGCTTAAGGAGTGAATTCTACAGATGTTTAATGTAATGTTGCTTTTATTAGTTGCAGACTGGTGGCAAACAATAGGCCTGTCACTGTAATCACTATATTGATTTATTGTTCCATATATGAAAGCTGGAACTATATATTTTGGGGCTCTGTAGTTACCATTTCTTCACCAAAGTGGAGAGATTTTATTTTATTTTATTTATTTTTTTTGTTGCAATCATAGAACTATAATCAAATGTGCAGGTGAACCCAAGATGGGGTTGTGTTGTTTTCAGTGGTCTGTGCTCATTGGTGCATGGGCCCTAAAATTATTATTTTCTGCATATACCTTCTCAATCCAGGTGAGCTCCTCCCACCTGTAACGTTCTCGGCGTGGAGCCTTTGGACCAATTAGAGCGAGAGCTGCTAGAGCAGAGCTGGAGCAGGCTCAGAAAGGGGCAAGGTTAAGTCTGACAAAGATCACTTTTGGGAGCTGTGAGGATTTGAAAATTTTAAAAACATATATGTTGTGAAAATAGAAAAGGATCTCTACAGAAAAAAAGTTTTAATTCCCAAAATGCATTTTTCTCTGTGGGAGAATTCTTTCTGGGTCCAAGCTCCCGGAGCTGCAGTACCTGGAGTGACCACTAGTTGGTCTGGAGTTGGAACAGAGGGAGAGGGGCTTATCCAGTTTTTTTTATAGGTTCACGGTTGCAATATGATAAGACCTGAGCTGTAGAGTGAAGAATAAATCACATCTAGGGCTGAACAGAATTGCTTTTGTCTTTTTTTTATTGACCCTACCTGGACAACTGAAAAAGGTTAAAAGTTTTTTGTTGTTTTAAATTGTCAATGAATGTTCAAACTAGCATTATAGAGTTGCAGCAGCCTTATAATTATGATGACCAAAAAGTAAGAATGAAAATCCATTAACTCCGGACATGGTGGGGCCAGCTAAACATCAGCCAATAGATAACGAGGCTACCTCATTATCTATTGGCTGTTAGGTAGTCAATCAAACTCGCTACATTTTCAGTGTAACTGACTCACCGGCGTGCCGGGATTACATGGTTTACGTACGAAAGATGCTGTTTACTCGCAGTGGTTCTTAGCGGCATTTCTCAACTGTAGCTTACTCACAGTTAGCACAAAGTTTGTTGCAATGGCGGCACGGTGGCTGAGTGGCTAGCACTCATGCCTCACAGCAAGAAGATTCCGGGTTCGATCCCCGATGTCTGGATGGGTTTCCTCCGGGCGCTCCGGTTTCCCCCATCAACCCAAAACATGCTACACAGGTCTCCAGAACAGTTGATAGTCAAGGTCAGTTAAATACAATCAATCAATGAATCTGTCCAGGGACGACAGATGGAAATTAGCACTGATGCTACATTGTGCTTCTAAATGTGTTAATGTGACAGGCTTCACGTGCTGGTGTTGTCTTTGAATTAACCAATAATTTGTTTATTCGACTCCAGAGCTTCTTGTCCCATCTGTAAACTTCAGCCAGTGATGAATTTACATGTGTCTGTTCCAGGATTTTTGGTTTCTACAAAGGAATCCTGCCCCCGATCCTGGCAGAGACGCCCAAGAGAGCGGTCAAGGTAAAGCTTCATGTATATCTCCAGCAACAATATCCAACCTGTAATAATAAGCAGCCACCAACCACCAACCACTGGTAGCTGCCATATAAAAACATCACAGTCGGACAAGGAAATAGAAGCGTTAAATCAAATAGTTGACAGGGAGTTTCTGTTTGTTCATCTTCACAAATATTGACTGTCTTTGAGCAATATTCCAGTTGCTTTTCCTGGAAGATGATTTAACTGCTGATATGGCCACCCAAAAGTATAGTTCAAAAGTACTGAACAGTTCCCTACTAAACCACGTTTTCAAAATTATTATTATTAGAATTTTTTTGCTACTACCATTTATATGTTTTCTCTATTATTATAATATATTGTAATATGTAAGCTACTGTGGGTCAAGTTTGTCTAGGCTTAGGATTGAATGTCCAAACAACAGCTGTTACCATGGAAATCTGCCATGTTTGTGGGAGTCACCAAATTAATGTTAAAAAGTAAATAAAAAGGTAGTGGAACAACTAGATAAACTGCTGGGTCACAACGGTACATCTAACTATCTACAGCACAGGTGTCAAACATAAGGCCCAGGGGCCAGATCCGGCCCTCCAAGACCTTTAATGTGGCCCTTGGGTGATTTTCTACTAAAATATTTTAATTATATTTTCTATTAAAATATTGGTAATTTTCTGTGGTGTTTATCACAGCAGCGTCTCCAGCGTCTATGTACGTGGCCCCTCCCACCAGAGCAGCACAAATGAAGACTTGTCTCTTTCCAAACACTCTTAAAGGACAATCGTTTTGACTGTTGACCGTGACACCCTCATCAGAAAAATGTCCAACATGACAAAAGTGGAGCCGAGTGCAGGATTTTCCAAGAAAAATTGACTTATTCCTGTTTGCATACAAGTTCATGTTAAAACATTGTGCTGAAATAGAATTTTTCTTAAAGTTTCAGGTTGTTCATAATATTATAATATTATAATAAGAAAGAGTTCATCAATTAAAAAAGATTTCTGTAATAGATTTGCGTTTCTCTGCACAAATATTTGAACTTAATGTTATTTTTTAGTTTTCTGATCCGGCCCCTTTGGGATCAAAGTAGGTTGGATATGGCCCCCGGACCAAAATGAGTTTGACACCCCTGATCTACAGTCTTAGAAAACAACATTTGAATGAACATTAAAGGTGCATTGTGTAACTTTTCTGGTGGAGAGTCCATCAAATGTTTTTCTCCATGGAGATGTTATTGCTGTGTTTGGAATGTCCCATCGTATGGCATTAAACCTTTCTATCTTCATGGAGATCAAACCAGGCCAAATAACAGGTCAGATCTGTGGAGAGGCGACCCTGCTCACAGTCAGAATGTTTATTTTTGTAGGTATTTTTGAGCTATAAAACCACCTGTAATTGAAGGTTTAGGCTAGTTACTGAGGGAATCCGTAGATCCGTGTAATGTCATACTGTGGAACATTCCAGGCAGATCAAAGACATATCCATAGAAACTAGCAGGTGATGGAACCTCTACCAGAAATGTTACACAATGCACCTTTAAGTCTAGTATCTTTAAGTCTAGTATCTTTAAGTCTAGTATCTTAAAATCTCCAACATTAGGCTCCCTGAAAATTCAATGAGGTGTGATGTCACAATTCCGAGCTGTGTGCCTCCCGTGCTGTAATTTCATAGAATTGTATCAACATTAGATTAGACGTTAAATTAAAGGTCAAATATTAGGGGATTTCATGAGTGGCCTATAAGTATATCCCTGGTTCTTTTTGTTGGCCCCATGCCTGCATAAATATGTCAGTGATGGCAGTCCACTGTTTAGCATAACGTTGTCTTTCTTCTGTTGTTGTTTAATTGTCTCGTGGCTGCTGTGCTCCCCTCTGTTTGGAGGAAGTGTTAGCATGTGGAGCTAATAGAGGTCAGAGAGAGGGGGGTGGACTGGTTTAAAGCGAGTTCATAATGAGAAACTGGTGACTGCGACGTGTGAACTTTTCAAATATAAGCTCCCTCTGTGAACATATGCTAATCGCTAACATGGCTAACACAGCTAACACGGCTAATTTAAATTTAGACAAACTTTATTGGTCCACAAGGGAAATTATTTTGACATTGTAGCTCACACATCTGATATAATATAATAACAAAAAGAGAGAAAACATATAAATCGTTAAAATAATTCTAAATAAGTAGCAAAAATAGCCAGCTAACTCTAGGGTGACCAGATTTACAAAATTCTAAAAAGGGACACACTCAGGTTTGGATGGTTGTTATAAATAAAATAGTGAAAAGAGCGTGTAACATTGTGCATTCTTGTGATAATCTGAGAGGCTTCTGTTGCTGCATGTTTTGCTTTATGGTCATTCGCAAACACAGACTTCTGTATTTTGGCTAAACGAATAACAATTTATGCTCCTTGTTACTGTTGGCGGGGGTCAGATTAGTCAAGGACTGTGATAGTCCTGTTTTAGTCCTGGTTTAGAGTTTATGTAGTCCTGGTTTAGTTTTAGTTTAGTCCTTGTTTAGGTCAGACTGATCAAAAATAGGGACGCCTGGGACATTTCTTGTATAAAACTGAGACAAATCCACTGGGACAGGGGACACAGGGTAAATAGGGAAGTCTAGCTAACACAGCTAACATGGCTATCTGAGCTAACAAGACCGATAAGTGTGTTTTTTTGCTAACTAAAGTGAGTGCAGATTACACATAGATATCAGTCAACAGCATATCATTTCTATCAAACTGTTTTATACAAAGACTTTAACGAGACAAGAGGGTTATTAATCTAACACCAGACAGATGATATTTTCCTAAAAACCTGTTTAAATCCTGATATTTGGGCAGTTAAAGTGTGTTTCCTTTGGTGTTTACATTTGTTTACATTAGCATCTAGACCCAAAATGGCGGCAGGTGACAAAAAATTATGATTGGAAATAGATGTTTATTATAGGATCGCTTATTTTCAATCCCTCACACTCTGTATAATCCATAATGTGGCAGTTTGATCCCCACTCCCTTTGTGTCCTTTGGCAAGACACTCAATCTGCCTTGACTCCAAATTCCAACATCCTGTTATTCATCAGCTAAATGACATTCCAGTTACGGACACCATTTTGAGGACTTTTAAAGGTCCTATATTACACAGAATTAAAACTTGTGAATGTTTAGCCAAGTTAGAATGTTTTATTCGTCCTCAAAAACAGACCTGGGGGTGTGTTTTGTTTCATTCACTATTGCATTATTAGTCCCCCCGAAGCTCAAAATGCTCTGTTCCACCTTGTGATGTCAGAAAGCAGTAGTTTTCAAGTTAAAAGCTACTTTTTTAGTTTTTGTTCAGAAGAAATGGGCAATTCCAGGGCTGAAATCATCCAAAACATTCTAGTGAAAGTGTGTAGAGTTTAAAAATGGAGGGGAGCTCTTCTTGTATTACCACATGACATAACAACATGGAAGAGAGAGTTTTCTGTTTGAGAGAAGAACTCAGCCTAAATCTGCAGGATGAGTGAAACAAAACACAACTCCAGGTGTGTTTGTGATAAAGAAACTACATTAGAACAAAGATCAGAAAATAGTGTAATTAAAGAGTGAACAGCAATGTTATGAACTGACTGTTGCTATGATGACTGTCCTTATTTTACATAACGTGAAAACAATGTGCGTGTAATTGTGGCCATTTATCAGGTACGATATTTCAAGTTGGAACTGGGCGTTTCTTGATTAATTCTGTTAAGGCTTTTCTTTTGTAAGAGATTTTGTGCAGATTTGATTGATTCGCCCCAGTTAAATTCCAATAACAATTCTTTGACGCTGATTAATAACTGAAGCGTTACAACAATAATACTCTTCTATTCATGGTTGGTTTCGGTTGGTTTCGCCCTGGTCCGTTCTTTGTCCCAGTCTTGTCTCTATATTAACTCCTAGTTTCCTGGTCTGTGGGGCTCCTGTTTATCTTTGAGTCACTTCTTTCTTTGGCGGTAGCTTTCTGACAGCTCATTTCTCTTTCTCTCCACAGTTTTTCTGCTTTGAACAGTACAAGAAGCTGCTGGGACTGACTCCTTTGTCTCCTGGAGTGGTGAGTGTGCACGCCTGACACACACATATTTATACAGTACCTGAGTCGTACCTGAGCACACCTGAGCAATGTTGTCACGATAGTAAAATTTCAAACTTACTTGATACTGAATACTGAATACTGGTAGTACTTTCTAGAGATGCACCAATACCGATACTGGTATCAAATATCTGTGGCGATTCGGGACAATTTGCTGGACTGGGCATCGGTGCCATAATAGTGGTTCAGTCAAGTCAATTGGACATTTTACTGATGGATATAGGCCAAGGACTTCTCATGATGTTTGAACTTTAATTTTAACACAAATAGAACAGAGTGTTTTCTGTTTGAGAGAACTCAGCCTAAATATGCAGCGCTTGTGTATTAAACATGTGTGAAATAAGACTCAACTTGAGGTATGTCTCCAGGAAACTACATTAGAACATAGATAAGAAAATATCATAATATGGGCCATTTCAATTAAATGTTATATTAAAAATGTTATGCTATTTTATGCATGTGTGAGTGCCTGATTTACAAACCCAAACCATTAAGCCTTTAATAATCAAACACACCCTGACACATGCACTCACTGTCAATTAGAATGTTGCAGTCAGGTTTATCTAAGGTAGAGGAGCAGTGGCGGGTGACCATGTGACTATATGCGGTTTGACCCATGCCCTCCCTCTCTCATCCTTTTGTTGGGTTATCTTTGTTTTATTTTGATTTATCGTCTTTCAGTTAAAGATAAGTACAGTGAAGAGAAAAGCTTCGATGTACACACTAATAAAACAACAATGGTTCTGATTGCCTTGTTTTATGGGCACTAAAGCCAGTTCAAACACACTGTACTGGTCTCTGTGGGAGTTAGCATTGTCACATATGCACGATTTGACTGTGGTCTCAGATCAGTCTGCACCCTGAGGTCATGAGGTTAGGCCACTGTTGTAATGTTGTGGGCATCTTTTTAACACAATACACAATCCTGTTATTGTTTTGATCTGTAAACTAAGTATATGGTCCATTTTGTTAAGGGTCTGCCGGTTGCCGTACAATTCTCCTCAGTGTGGCATTAAACATTAAACATCTATCTCCCTGAAGACACAACCAGGCAAGGTACAGGTCAAAGGTCTTTGAGTGCTGTGAAGGTGGAAAAAGGCTATATAAAAATGTGACCATGACTGTGACCAGATTTTGTGGCGAGGTAACCTCTCTCGGTCAGAATGCTTGTTTTTCTAGGTATTTTTGAGCAATGAAGCCACCTGTAATTGAATGTTAGTAAGAGCTGTTTAAAGTCATTCTGTGGAATATTTCGGGCAGAGCAATGACATATCCATAGAAAGAAGCATTTGACGGACCCCCAACCAAAAAGTTACACAATGCACTTTTAAGAAAACATAAAAAACAAAATGAATCCCAGACCCTACACTAGCGTAACACTCGCGAACTGACTCTATGTATAGGAGCCAGTCTAGTTCCAGTCCTTCCTCTGAATAAACCCATGTCTCCTGCCTCCTTCTGAATGTGAGGCTCAGTGAGGACGCGACAGGCTGCTAAGGAAGACAGATGTTTGGTTTTGGGTGCGGCCGCTCTCACTGTTCAGGTAGCAGCGAGATGTCAGGAAGATGGATGATTTTACCTGTGGAGTCTGGACTTGTTTGTAAAGGTACTGGTCCAAGGATGTGTACCTGTCCCATTAATCATGTGCTGGGGCCTCAAAGCTGCCTCCTCCTCTTCCTTAAAGATTGTTTGTACTTTTCTCAACTTCTCGTCATGGTATCATGTTATTTCCTCTTCAAAAACATACCTGAAGTCGGGTTTAGTTTCATTCACACGTTTGCGTAATCCTGCATATTTAGTGTGTCTCCTCCTTAGTTGAAAATGCTAAGTTTTACCTTGTGAAGTCATTAGTTGCTGCGACTCATAGTTCAGTACTTTCTCCTTGCTGTGGATCATGTGACTCTGGCATCTGGGCAAATAAAAAGTTTGCTTAAAGGTGCATTGTGTAATTTTTCTGGTAAGAGTCGAGGGACCTGGTTGTGACCCTGAAAAGGTGCTAGGGAGACTGCTTTTGCTGGAATGTACCACAGTATGGCATTAAACTTGTTTATTATTTAACTGTAGCTGTTTTTTTTTGCAATAAAGTACCTTCAAAATCTGCATTCTACTGTAAGATGGCTCACCTCTCCACAAATCAGACCTGTAAATAGGTTTGTTACTTGTCTCCATGAAAAAAAATCCAGGCAAAGCAACAACATCTCCATGGTAACAAGCCCTTCACTCGGAAAGTTATACAGTGCACCTTTAACTACAAATAGATTTTTGTAATATCAAATTCATTTGACATATTTATGGATATGAATGGATGAAGTGGCAAGCATTCACAGCAAGGCTCTGGCTTTGACTCCTGGGAACTTTTTGTGTGGAGTTTGCATGTTCTGTCTGTGTCTGCGTGGGGTTTGCATGTTCTCCCTGTGTCTGCGTGGGGTTTGCATGTTCTCTCTGTGTCTGCGTGGGGTTTGCATGTTCTGTCTGTGTCTGCGTGGGGTTTGCATGTTCTCTCTGTGTCTGCGTGGGGTTTGCATGTTCTCTCTGTGTCTGCGTGGGGTTTGCATGTTCTCCCTGTGTCTGCGTGGGGTTTGCATGTTCTCCCTGTGTCTGCGTGGGGTTTGCATGTTCTCCCTGTGTCTGGATGTGTTTTTTCTGGGCACTCTGGTTTCATCAACCCAAAACACATGCCCCCAAATCCTCCAGCTTTCACTCAGCGCTGTAACACCATATGTAGATGTATTGTGGTCTTTTCTGCCTTTGTTTTTTAATTGGTAATCGCTATGGCAACAGTCCTAATTTTTCATCATTCTGAAACTCGTAGATTCCACTTTTGTTTGTCTTGTTGTAACTGCCAGAACAGGTAAAATGACGAGGAATGTGTTGGAAAGCTGCCATTTCAGCCCACACCAAACCATCTGACTGTATTGTAAATGATGCTTTGATGGCCTCTGATCTCCTTTAGTGTGGTCCAGCTCTCTCGTCTAATCACCGCTGTTCATTAGCAGCAGTGAAATCCACCTAACCCCACAGACACGCACACACACACGCACACACACACACATACACACACTTACGCACTTACACATGTTGAGTTTCCATGCCTCTTGGGGACAGCACATTGACTTCCATTCATTTCCTGGAGACTGAGCCTACCCATAGTCTGTACCTAACCTTACTCATTTTAAAGGTGCTGCACCAGATTTTTACCATTTTAAAAATGTGAAAAACACCACTAAGTAATTTTAAATGGTTTGCAGATATCCAAAGTTTTTCCTAACTTATTTATGCACTGCAAAATTCCAAATTGTTTACTATTTAGAAATGCTTCTTGCAACTTTGCAGGCTAGAGCAGTTCATGGTACTGCTAACAAGAGCTAGTATGCTAATCATGCACTTCTTGGTTACCAAACAACTGACTTTTTGACCCCATAAATGCGACTGTTCCCCATAAAGTGAGAGTGTGTTTAAATGTTAGTCCCCAGAATGTTACAAACCCCCAACACACTCCCTCGCTTCCTCGTCCCCTCCCTTAACCCGAACCCAGCTGAATTCCTTCACTCTGATTAACGAGGACACGCCGCGTAATAGCACAAATACGGAATTAAAGCTGGTCTCTGGCTGTGTAAACACGGGGCACGTCTGCGAGGATGGGAGCAGGAGCGCAGAAGAGTAATGGGCCAAAGAGACAACCTTGACGTGTCCCCATGACGCTAGCCTACATGATGCTAGCCCACCTGAACTAGCGAACAAATACCGCTCTGTACCAACGAAAACCACCATCAACATGCCAAGGCCAAGTGCATTCAAGTGTGCATGCTTCCTCTAATATTAGCTCAAATTAAAGGGATTCAGCTGGATTTTATGTGGAAAAAGGGTCATTACGCACTCCACGCTACCGCACCACAAATCGCATGTACCTGTGCAGAGTGTCAATTTTATAAGGGATTGTGGTCCATTGGAATTTGGTGCATTGCAAATGGCCAAAAGACAGGAGGGATTACATTAGCACTGCTCCATTAATCGCAATCAAACTGAAAAATGCCATTTGAATCCAATATTTTTCCTAAATGGCTGAACCATTTAGGAAAAATATCTAATTGTAATTTTTCTGAGATTATATTTGTAATTTTATTTGAATAATACGATTCTGTATAAAGTTCACATTTTAAACACATCCAGAAGAATTGAGAAAAAGACTGAAAAATGAAAAGGCAAACAAGAATTACATTTTAGAACATGTTTGTACAGATCTAAACTACAGGGTTAGTTTTCATAAAGAATAAGACCGCATTAGACACATGGAGGGCATGTGACACACAGACACAGGGAGAACATGCAAACTTCACACACACACCCATGTATTGTGTTATATCTGTAGCTCCTGTTTCATCAGTTTTTGTGTGAAGAAAATGTAAGTGAAGCATGTTGGTTTTACATGTGTTTTATAAATAAACTTGAATGGAATTGAAACAGGGAGAACATACAAACTCCAAACACGCACGCACACACACACACGCGCGCGCGCGCACACACACACACACACACACACACACATACACACACACACACACACACACACACAGATCAACAATCAGAAACAACCCTACATTTCATTTACACAGTTTTGGAAACTTTACCTAACCTGAGATGAATTGCAGTGGAGATGCACTTTGGCAAACAGTACATATTATATCTTACATTACTAAATCACCTCCTGTGCACAAATACTCATGTCTGTATTTCCCTATTATTTGATGCTCACATTACATGTTGTTTAAGCCCTGATGGTATAAGGCAAGGCAGGTTTATTTGTATAGCACATTTTGTACGCAAAGTAATTCAAAGTGCTTCACAGAATAAGAAAGACATGACAATGGGTGATTTTCATATTAATTTTGCACAGACTTAGTAGACTTTAGTCCTTGTTTTTTACTGAACCGTATCGAATTGATTTAAAGTATATCGAACCT